GTCTTAACTTTGAACATTCTGGGAGCAAATGCACGCTAGTGCTCATTTAGACATGACTCTTCAGGCCAAAGAAAGCACACAATTTCAGGTAAAATCTGATTCCTGGGGCCAACGCCTTCATTCATTTGAACATACTACCCACCATAGTGGGCTACTGGGACTGATTTTAACAAGCAGACCCCTAGAATTCGTGTCCATGGACTTTTTTTCATAAAATCATACAGCAAAAATCTGCATGCACACTTTTGTTGATGGATCACTTTATTCACTACACTCAAGAAGGCCAACACTCTAGCACAAATGTTATGGGGTGAGGGGAATCTTTGCTTTATTGTGATCAAAGGAAAGACGAGTTGATTACCACAAGAAATGCCTCATTTGGCAGGTTTTTTTTTTTTTTTTTTTTTTTTTTTAATGTATTCCCTTTTATCCTCAGGGCAACTCAAATCCTGAGAATTTTAATAGAACTTCAGCAAAAATGCCAGCAAATCTGCATATAGAAAAAAAAAATAGTAACGAAGCCAATGTATGGGTTTTGATGCCCACAGGACCATCAGAAATCGTAAGTGGCATGGCTGTCTTGCCTTTTTTGATCTTTGAGCATGTGTCCTGCTGCCATTAAACAGTTTTAGGCTAAGGGACAAGGGGTCAAAAATATTAAGCTAGAGGAAAAACTAGCATCTTAACATTTGTGCATTGAGCAGTACAGCAAATCACTGAGACAGAAAAGATACCTGTAGCTCAGGTGCAGCACCAGGAGTGGCAAGCCAGGGATTAGGTCCTGAAATGGCATTTGTGCATCCCAGACACAATGAACAGCTGACTGCAGGGAGGTCGTTGTATCTGGTGGTGGACAAGATAGGCTCCTTGATGGATGATGCCAGACACCAGGGTCAAGATTATCTTGGTAAGATATTTTAATAAGCTTCTGTCCATGGGAAGATGCTAGGGAGGAAACACACCCTGTTTAGCATTCAAGGTAAAGATTGTTGTTGTTAGGTGCCATCGAGTCAGTTCCAACTCACAGCGACCCTATGTACAACAAAACGAAACACTGCCTGGTCCTGCCCTATCCTCAAAATCGTTGTTAAGCTTGAGTGCATTGTTGCAACCACTGTGTCAATCCATCTCGTGAAGGGTCTTCCTCTTTTTTTGCTGACCCTCTACCCTACCAAGATGATGTCCTTCTCCAGGGACTGGTCTCTCCTGATCCAAAGTACATGAGGTGAAGTCTCACCATCCTCGCTTCTAAGGAGGGATTATTCTGAATAGAGTCAAAAAAGGGGCCCAGCTCTCTCTCCACCACCACCACTGGAAAGAAACAGGGAGTACAGGTGGTGAGGAGGAAAAAGGGAGGAGGTGACAAGAGTATAGAGTTACTCCACGAATCCAAATAGCACAGGGTATCTACCACTGCAACATGGATGACAGAAGAGAGGGTTCATCTCCACAGATCTTAATATAGAAGTGGTAGCACTTGAACCTGTGAAACAAGGTCAATATGCCTCAGATTGAAAAGGAGGGCTGAGAACTGGGCAAGAAACTAGAGCAGGAAAAACGCTCTCTATCTGAATCAAAGGAGTCAGTGACAACTCCCCACCAAGGGTACAGGAAAGTTCACCCAGGACCCTTGGTTAATTCATAACATACTAGGTAGGCCTGGAGAGGGCACTTCCCATTGATTAAATGCACCAGCGTGTGGTGCCATGAAACTGCCTTGGGTACCCTGAGCTCTCTACTCACCAGAGAAGGAAGTGGAGTATCAAAGGACTCCATAAAGAGTATGGCAAGTTGCCCTGCCCTTTCCATTCCCACAACCACACACACACATAACCTTCCTAGAGCCAAAGGCTTCTCAGGACTAAGGAAATTAAAAGGGGAATTATTGTAATTAACTAAAGAAGAGAGGAAATAGAGGATACAGGGGCTGGAAGTCACTGTGAGATCAACGATGTATATTAGGGTGGACCAGGTGAGAAATTTGAAAGAATCGTTTAGTAAAAGAATGGGGTGTTTGAATTTATGTCCAAGGTGATAGAGGGTACAAAATACTATTCTCTCCACTGTTCTGTATGTTTGAAAATGTTCATAATTAAAAAAGAATATAAGAGGTGGAACAGTTTCTGAAGATGAATAAGATCTTGGTAACAGCTACGAAAATGGGTGACTGAAGAATAATACTGAAGGTTGCGGAATTCACATTTTTTAGCATGTCTTAGAGCAAGAAGGAATGGACATCGAAATGAGGTGGGGCCATGAGCCAAGGGATGCAGGAACTCTCTAGAAGCTAGAAAAAGCAAGGAAATGAATTCTCTCCTAGAACCTCCAGAAGGGACACAGCCCAAAGACCCGTTTTAGAGTTGTGGCCTCTAGCACTGTTTAACATAATAAACTTGTGTTGTTTTAAGCCACTAAGTTTGTGGTATTTTGTTACAGCAACACTAGGAAATTAATACATGGCTTAAACTTCAAATTTTGGGATTTGAAGGGGGTGGGGACCGTGAGACCTTACTCTCAGCTTCTTTGTGCAAGATGCAGTACTCTCTTTATAGATAAGCTTTTTCTGCTACCCTTATCTTAGAAATAAACACCTATCTTACTTTAAAAAAAGGAGACAGTCATGGACTCTAGACTTTCAGCAGCCATGGGGGCTGGATGAATCCTTGAAACTACTGCCCTGAGATAATCTTTAAAACTTAACCAAAAATATCCCCTGAAGTCATCTTAAAACCAAATAATAGCGTAGCTTAACTAGTACAAAATGTCTGCCTTTAGCATTATGCTCTTTTAAGAACTACCTATACGGGACCAAAGTGACAACAGCAACTCAAAAGCCAAGACAAGAACCTTAGGCGGCAGTGAGTTTATGTTAAAGGGGAGGAACAACTCAGAAAAGGAGAGTGAAAATGACTGCATTTGTACATAAACAGTTGAATTGGTGTATGTTTCACTGTGTGTATTCTCAATAAAAAAAAAGAGATGGCGGTCAATCCAGCTGGCATGTGTATCAAGACAAAGTTCTTTTTACATTAAGAGTAGGGAAATATAATGTTAGCGGAAACGAGAGATCCCCAACTGTTCTGGATTGAATTTTTCCCCCCAAAGTTATGTTGAAGTCCTAACCCCTATACTTGTAAATATGACCCTGTTTGGAAATAGAAGTTTTCTTTTGTTATGTTAATGACGCCATACCAAAGTGGGTCCTAAACCTACTCCTTCTTATCAAAGGAGCAAAACAGACACAAAGAGACACACTGGGGAAACAGATCATGTAAGCCAATGATTTTTGTTCTTTAAAACCACCCACATATGGTATTTGTGTTACAGCAGCACTAGGTAATTAAGACACCAACCCTCCATTGTCCTGAGTTACAAGGAAAGTGAGGTAAGAAAAAGGAACATCTAGTTGAGAAGGATACAGAAGTTGAGAAGGACGCAGAAGCTTTAGCAGAGTTTTGTTTACTATTCAGTGGAGATAAGGAGAGCAGAGTGGAAAGGTTTGGGAGAATAGCGGTACAGTCGGAGGCTCAGTAAAGGAAAAGGAAACATAGATTACAATGAGGAGAGTCCAGAAAAGAATAGATGACAGGAAGGACCAGTGATCAAACATACTGGATATAGCTAGCCACAAGCCTTCCAAATTAATTAGCTCTAGCTGTGCCCTTGTTTGAGGTTTAAGCTCTTCTCAGAAGGAATCTGCTAAGGCCTGGAAGGATTGTTTCTGACGGTGTCCTAGCTCATAAGATCAGACAGATCTCAGTGGGGCAGCCACTATAATTTTTTCTTTTTTTGTCACCATTAGAAACATTCTTGAAAATATCACCTCAGTTCAGGGAACATATTGATGGCATATTGCTTTCCACTGCCTTTTTTAAGGCTTGCATCTTTTATTCTCACTACAGCAGCTAGTCTGAGGTTAAAAGACTAGAACCAGTTGCTGTCAACTTTGACTCATGGTGACCCCACGTGTGTAAGAGTAGAACTGTGTTCCAAAGGGTTTTCAATAGCTGATTTCTCAGAAGGATACTGCCAAGCCTCTCTTCCAAGTGGCCTCTGGGTAGACTAGAACCCACAACCTTCGCAGCAGAGCACATTAAATGTCTGCACTACCCAGGGACTCCAGTTTGGGGTCAGTGGTTTATAAAAGTAATAAACACATAAGTCAATTTGGCTGTGCACTACTATGAGAGGTTCTTTTTGGTACATTTGGTATCCTCTCAAGAGTGTGATAAGGGTGAAGGTTAGTTATACCCCTACCTCATTCCTCCAATTTTACTAGCAGGTTAAAATGAAAGCAAGTCTCAGATCTAACTCTACCACATTTACATTTCTTAAACAAAAATATATTAGCAATCAGACACTAAACAGTTTATAATTTTGTGCTCTAAACTCAATAAAATCACAGCCCTCATCCTTTAGTGATCTCACCATACCTTACATGAAAAGTCTGCTACAGGCAAGATTCTGTTATTTTTAGATGGGACCAGAATTCTTCATTTAGATCATGTCTCAGACATCCCTAAGGATGTAGGCAGCAAACCTCATGGATTTCTTATACCCTATTCATTTAAACGTAGGTCATGTCTCTATTTCACCCAATCCAAATGTCTTTATACAATTGATTTGACCAATGAGAATGCATTTCAAATATCCATTGTGTTGATTAAAAACAATTTCACCAATTTAAACCTATTCTTCTGTGATAAAATATTCCATTTTTAATTTTCTAATTTTCTGACCATTGCTCTCCTGGGAATTGGGAATATTATGAAGTCTGGTGATGATGACATATACCGTATTCTTTTAGCACAGCTACAGGGTCGTTGCATAAGAAACAACTTTTTGTCATATAATTCAATAACAAAATAATCCACACTCTACTGTGCCTTAAGGAGTTCCTGGATGGCATAAATGGTGAAGCGCTCAGCTAACAGCCCAAAAGTTGGCAGTTTAAACCTACCCAGAGGCATCTTGGAAGACAGCCCTGGCGATCTGCTTCTAAAAGGTCAGCCTTGGAAACCCTATGGAGCAGTTCTACTCTGCACACACAGGGTCACACAGAGTCACCATAAATCAGAATCAATCAGACGGCAGCCAACAACAACTGTGCCTTAAAAGCATGACGTTTGAAGTTTACTTTTCTTATTTTGACTGGGTACTCACTGGTAATAAAAAATAAATGTCAAAGTAGGCCAGTACGCATAGCACTCGAAATGCTGTGAAGTTATAACTGCGTCATCATGAGTTGTAGTGTGCCAAGCACAGTGTGAAGCGCTCTGACATCAGTTCTCTATCACTACTCAGCTCTGCAGTTAAAGCACAAAAGCAGTCACAGACAATATACAAACAAATTAGTGGGGCTGTGTCCAACTGAACTTTATTTATGGACCCTGAAATTTGAATTTCATGTAATTTTTATGTATCATAAAATATTATTCTTCTTTCAACTTTTTTCAATCACTTAAAAATGCAAATACCATTCTTAACTTGTAAGCTGCACCAAAAAAAGGTAGTGGGGCGATTTGGCCATAGGGTCGTAATTTGAGGACCCTTGATTTAATTTATGCATATAATACCACATGACTTATACTTTAAAGTAAAATAACACATTATCACATAGATACATAAGAGTAAGTCACAATCATTCATCTAAAAGTCTTTAACTCTGATGGGAAGAGGTGAGAGTTAAAAATGAGAGAGAAGATATTTCATTTCAGTATCTGAACTTGTTTGTGATTTTAATTTTAATGGAAACTTCAGGTTTTTTGTTTTGGACCCCAAAATAGAACATTTATATATGAAAATTAGTAAGTTTTATAAGTACAATCTAAGCATCTCTAAAAAAGTTCACAAGAGGAGATTTTACCTGTGGCTGACTTTAAACAGCATGCAATAAGCTAGGCATTCTTTCCCACAAATAGAGATTTTATAGTATATTTTTAATACTCGTATGTTCAGAAACATCCATCACTCACAGAAGATCCAGGAAAACTAAGGTTATAATCAGAAAAAAATTCCTCAAATTATTAACTGTGTAAGAGTTGGAATATGCAGATATGTAGCTGCAATCAAATACATGTAGTTATATTCCATAGTTCATCTTTAAGTTGCCCTGCAGAACTATAATTTGCACAGAAAACAAAAATCAAAGCTAAATTAAATACAAAGCTGTCTTCCCAACTAAGGCAAAACAAATGTAATTGTTTTATCAGGGATACAAAGACAGAGAGAGAAGCACTCCTGTCAAATCTTCCCTAAATGGAAAAAACAGAAATTGGGCTTTTTCCCTAGGGGCCTCTTTTTAATGAAATTCTTGTCCCATTGGAGTCTAGCACAGAGCTTCCTGGAATACTCAGAGCAGGAAAATATGAAGGGTGACTTAAGCACAGGTACCAGCACAAAGGTTACTGACATTTATTTGGGTGCTCATTTTTCCACAAAAATGACAACATCCCCCAATGTGGTCTAGGAGGGGCAGGCTACACTTCTACGAGGGGTGAGGGTTTATCTTTAGCTCTTGAGCCCTTTTAAAGGTACCTGGAAAGTCTTCTCCCCAAGTTCTGTTTTCTCCTCAGGTCCTTAATGCAGTTTTGCAAGCTCCCCTGGGTTATCTGTGAGGAAGGCAATGAAGGATTTTGACTTTTTTTGTAAGCCTCATCTTCCCACCTATGTTATCTGACCGGGATAGGATTTGTTCAGGTTTTCCCTCATGATGGTCCCATGGAAAACTAATCTGGGGTCATTTCTGGTCTGCCAGTTCCATCTGCTAATATGCTTTATAGCTAGTGTTATCATAGCGGCATAATATGAATTGATCTGGGTGGTGAGTCTCCTTCCCGACCCTCGGATAAGTACTCACAAGAAGTCAATCTAACTGAGACACAAAAATAGCACACAGGAAAATGAATAGCCCTTTTAAGGGATGTGGAAGGGTGACACAGACAGTCTATGGACCCCACCTGAAAAGACAAAAGTTTTCCTGACCTCTGCAGGCAGGGCCCAGGATAGAGCTCTGTCGTGAAGCCTCTCAGCAGCTGAGAGGAGACTAAGGGATGGACAGTAAGATTCAAGGGGTCTTAATAACATGTATGTCCTCCATCCCCGTTCAGTAGTCTGCCTCCCCTGACCTCAGGCTCTGGCATTATTCCATACCATGACAAACTGCTCGGGAAATAAGACCAAAGATCACAGACTTGGAATTGTCTAATATGACTTGCTGTTTACTAAAAAAAAATCTGTCTGTTGAATGAAATGAGTGGAGTATGCACCATCCTAAAGTCAGGTGACTATTTCACCTCAGTTCTTAACATACCAGTGTACTTTATACATGAGTATATCCCCCAATCCGAGCCACCCTAGAAATTTGGGGATCTGGGAGGGAGGGAAAGCCTTATACTCTCAAATAAACTTAACCATTTGAGAAAAGCAATTCAAGAGTTTTGAAAATGGGAGAGCAACATAAAAACAGGTAAAATTTACATTTGAAAAGAGATCCAAATATACATTTTGAAAAGCAAGGGTAATCTCAGTAAGTAAGGTAAAGCATGCACATGAAAAGAGATGCAGTTAATTGAAAAAGAAATCACACTACTCCTTTTTTTATCTGTCAGAAAAAGTGACAAATTCCTTCTGATTAGGGTGGTTTCCCTCACTGTCTTATGAAAAAAATATCTGGATACATAGCAAGGACCAAGTTGTTCCAGAGGCAGTCATGCCTGCTAAAAACGGTCTCAAATTTCTTTTCCCTTCTTTGCTATAATACAACCATCATCTACATTTCAGTCTCTGTTCCCTTGATTTGTACATACACTGAAACACACACGTTTCAATTCCTTTGCTAGATCTGGAAGCACGGTTGCCTCAGTATGGCAGTCATAAGCTAAGATGGGGAAGTCATGAAAAGAGAATGTAGGTCCAACTGCCACCATCTTACCCCTAAATTCTCAGTGAGATGCAGTAACATGGCAACCAAAATTCTTACCTCTACATATTGTAATTTTTTTAAATTAAAAAATTTCATGACTTCATTAAATAAGCCAGCTAAGATTTAATAGACATCACCCAAATAAATGACTATGTAATTAATTTTACTTTAGTTTTTACTTTACTGTAAAACATGAGATGGGATGATAGGGGATCTCAGAATCAGGTCTACATTCGAGCTCAATAAAAATTTATAATATTCTCAAATGTCTGCCAACTTTATTCATGTCTCAACCAGAATTAATTTTATCATCTTTCCAAATTAAACAAGAAAAGAACTGGATCAATGATTTATATTCCCTATCAACTTTTCCTATATAAAACCACTATCATAGCTTGAACTCACAATCCTCCTAAATAAAGAAAAGTTTAAAATTACCTCCATAATAGGTAGCAGCCCTTCTGGCTTTCTTCCTTTGACTAAAGAAGTCTATTGCTTAGGATTTTCCACTTTGGGTTCCTGTAGTACAGTTATCCTCTGTATTCCAGATGTCTTCAATTATAGAAAAAGAAATCTACACTCTTTGTGTTCTTTCAGAGCAGGGTTGAGAAGAAAAATTACCTACCATATCAGGTATTTTTTTATATGCATGAGCTACTCTACTGCATGTATTTCAAACCCACTTTTTTTTAAAGCACACATTAACTCATCATCAACGTATGTTCCATTAGAACAAGATTTCTTAACCAGGAGTCCCCAAAAAGCCTTCAGGGGATCAAAGGCGGCCCCCAAATTATGAGTCTGAGGATTTTTGTGAAGAGAAAATCACAGCCTTTATCAGATTCTTCCGACCTCCAAAATGTTAAGAACCATCACATTGGATCCTCTTATTTTAAAAACCTTTAATGTGTTGGACCGTTTAGTATAATCTGACATCATTCAGTATCGAATCCTGTTTTCCAAAGTTCTAACACCCCAAATAAGTTGCAATTTTGTACATACGGTTAGAAACTCTGGTTCCATTTTTATACTGTTAGTATACAATTAAATATACGCTATTTCTAGCACATAAATATTTTAACAATTGTCAAATACATCTGGATTACGTCTTAACCCACAGTACTTCACAAAATTCATGATTTTAAACAAAGGCAAATTAAATAACATCTCAATTTCTAAATTTTCCAACTACATTAAAGTGATGACATTTTTGTTTCAAAACTATTGAAAAGTATGTCATTTTCTTGAAAAGAACTTGGCACAAAAGGCAGCAAAGAGGTCCCTATAAGGAGTGTCTGAATCTGACTTGGTCAATGGTATTCGGCAAAGTCGGCGAAATCCAGGAGAACGCAGCAGCAAGTTCTGTGAGAGGCCCATGAAGCTGGAACATAACCAGTAGAGAACAACTGACTATAAAGAGAAGAAAGGATATGAATGTTAGCACCTGTCCATTCTCCAAGGACACCCAGGCCCACATATAGGCAGGCCAAAATAAAGAAAATAACAATCTCTGTAAATAGAACTATAACAGGACTGAGCAAGTTCTGAAGCAGTTATTAGACACCTGACATGTATCTAATAGATAGGTAAGAAAGGAAGTTGAAAGGAAGGCCAAAAAGCAAAAAGAAAGCAAACGGAGAGGAATTCAGATAGAAAGTGGATGACAAAGTAGCTCCTATGCAAAGGCCCAGGAGAGATCTCACCTGTCCTCTTCCACAATTAAGCATACTTTCTCTCCCACAGAGTCCTGACAAGCTGCTTATACTGAAGGTGAGAATGGGGGTGTAATCATTTATGATGGCAACTTAGACCTCATTTCCCCCTGTAATCATCTATCTTCCAAATTTTTTCCCAAGTACTTAGTTTCTCATACTCAGAAATGGATTATCTTTGCTTTTTTTTTCCTGAGACAAATAGTCTCAGCATAATTTTCAACTTTCTTTTGTATTACCATCCAGATTGACTTATTTAGGTCAATGACTAAGTTCTGCAGCTTGTCAAAACTTTTCTTTGGCATCAGAAACTAATCAGGTTCCAGAGGCAAGATCACGTGGTGGTTGGGTCCAGGTCCTAGAGTCAACTGCCTGAGTTTTAATCACGTTTACTATTTATTTGACTTTGGTTATTTTATTTGTTTCATTTTCCTCATCTAAAACGGGGACAGTAATAGTACCCACACCTCAGAGGGTTGCTATGAGAAATAAATAATTCATGTACAGTGGTAAGCACAATATGTGGCCCAGATTGAGCACTTACATTTATTTCAAAGCAAACCTTAAGAGGCAGAGTAACAGGTCGTCAAGCCAGGTTAGTGTAGTAGTTAAGAGCTGGAGCCAAACTGCCTGGATGAGTGTTAAGACTCTGCAATGTAATAGCTAAATGAACCTGGATGAGTTGCATAACTTCTCTGCGCTTCAGTTTTCTCATTTCTAAAATGGAGATTATAATAGTGCCTACACCTCACTGCGTTGTTAAAACCATCTGCCATCGAATTGATTCCAACTCGTGGCGACCTCACGTGTGTCAGAGTAGAAGTGTAATTGACAGGGTTTTCAATGGCTGATTTTTTGGAAGTAGGTCACTAGGTCTTTCTTCTAAGGTGCCTCTGGGTGGACCTGAACTTCCAACCTTTTGGTTAGCAGTCGAACACATCAACTGCACCACCCAGGGATTCTGTTGTGTGTTATGAGGACTATATGAGCTATTATATGTTATAACAGTGCCAGGCACAAAGTCAATGTTCAATAAATACTAGCTATCATCATCATCTAACTTATCCACCACCAAAAATTACCAAGCCCAACTACGGCAGACTCGAGCTGCCTACTAAGTATCAGTACTCTGCCTTCGTCCTTAGTAACCAAATCCAAATTTTTAGCTGAGTATACTCCATCTAAAAAACAAAAAAATTACTACATTTCCCAGCCTATTCTGCAACTGGATGTGGCCATGTAACTAAAGATATAAGCACAAGTGTTTGGTGGGACATCTGGCAAGATTCCTTAAAAAGCACAGGCTCTGCATTAAGCACACTTTAACTTTCCCTGCAAGACGACATACTCCAGCACCCATCATGAATACCCTATGACCTTGAGGACAGACATCACAGGTTGTGGACGATGGATCAGAGAGAGAAAAGCAGGCTGGATCTCTCATAAAGCTGCCACATGATCCCACTGCCTAACTCTGGATTTCTTATATTTGAAAGAAGAAACTTTTGAGTATTTAAAACAGTTTTTTAGACCTCTGTTATTCACTCTGAACCCAATTCTTCAGTGAAACTTCACTATTCCTAATTTATTTAATCTGGGGGTTTGCTCGGTTACAATTGGTATTATTTCTCCCCAGAAATGTGGTCAATCTGTATCGTTCTATTTTTACATGATATTTTATAACAATATTATTATGTGAAAAGTACCATAATAAGCACTTGAAGTTATTTCATTAATTATCACAGACAATATGATACCTATTTTAGAGATGAGGACACTTGTTTTACACAGGATTAATGACAGTATCATACCCAAGTTAGAGCTTCAAAAGCAACATTTTGATACTGAAAACATACTGCTTCTGATAACTAAAACAACTAAGGTGAACTATTTTTACATGTGCTTATAAAGCCCTAACTACTAGCAACAAATGAATTCTACTTTATGGTCTCTAAGTTGGCTCTGAGCACAGCTGGAGATACACCTGACTGTTTTTGCCCTCTTAGAAACTTCTAAAGTATTTTAAGCAAAAGTCTAAAAATATAAAATAACTGCCAAAAAAATTACCATTTATTTTTCTTTTTCTAGCAAAAATTTAATCATGTATAAACGAGGACACATGAACATATCTCATAGGGTTGTTATGAGGCTAAATAATATTACACATGAACCTATGTGGGTTTGACACAAAGCTTTGTTTCTTTAAGTGCTAAATTTCTTGGCCCATTATATGTAGGCAAAAAAGAATTTAATATGTCAACTAATCAAGCAGAGTAAGTACTATGTTCATGTTACTGAGCAAAGTACTTTGCAACATTTAAAAAAAAAAAAGGAGGAAAGGAAAATGGGGCTTGATTTAGCAGGAGGGACACATTTACATAAAGGATGAACCAATGCCAAGAAACTTTGAAGTGTCACTTGGTGACATAGGCAGTAGATATATTACTACAGAAACTCCAAAATCAATAAGGGATAGAGTAGTCAGAGGAAGCTCAATGAAGAGGCAGGACCCCAGTCAGTCCAAGCCAGGGTCAGACAGGATTTAGCACATGCTAAACACAATGCTAACCACAATGTTCAATTGCCTCAGATGCACGGGAAAGCTGGACAATGAATAAGGAAATTCGAGAAGAATTGATGTCTTTGAATTATGGTGTTGGTGAAGAATACTGAATATACCATGGAGTACCAGAAGAACAAACAAATCTGTCTTGGAAGAAGTACAGCCAGAATGCTCCTTAGAAGCAAGGATGGCACAACTTCATTTCATGTACTTGGACATGTTATCAGGAGGGACCAGTCGCTGGAGAAGGACATCATACTTGGTAATGTGGAGGGTCCATGAAAAAGAGGAAGACCCTCAATGAGATGGATTGATACAGTGGCTGCAACAATGGGCTCAAGCATAATGACTGTGAGGATGGTACAGGACTGGGCAACGTTTCATTCTGTTGTACACAGGGTCGCTATGAGTCGGAACTGACTTGAGGGCACCTAACAACAACAAATACAATGCTGGTGCTTACTCACTGAAGGTACTGTTGCAGCAATTGGAATCATCAACATTGATACTCCACGGACAAAGTACGTAACATACTTCTGAAAACGAGACATTCCAATTTTTTGCAAAGCAAAAATCTGAAAGGGTAGAATATACACATATACACGGATTATTAAAATGCATATTCTATCAGACACACAAACTGACCTTTCATTGGTCTCCACCATACTTTAATAAAAGTAAAAAGAAAAGAAAAAATCAAAATACTGGTGAATTTATACGGTTGATCATCTATCCTTTTAAACACTTAATAATTAAGCAAATTTCTTAAAGAGCTTTAATAGCAACAAAGAAAAGATTCAGCTATATAAGAAAGAATCAAAGCATAATTTTCAGAAGTCAATATTTTTAAAAGATCGTCCATTAAGACTGAAATTCCTTGAATATAAGTACTATGTATGAATCATTACCCTTCTTTTCTGGCATTGAAGTACAGTGCTTGGCATAGAGAAGGCTCAAAGGTTTGTGATCCGGCTACGTGGAATAAACGGAAGAACCAAGGCTAGGAGCAGTTATGATTTATGAATTACTTACATAAAAGACAGCATAGTGTAATCATTAAAAGCATGGGCTCTAGAGTGAAACTACCTAGGTTTACCTGGCAGCTCTGCATTTAGTAGTTATATGACTCTGGGCAAGTTATTTAACCTTTACGTGCCTCACTTTCTCCACCACAGAATGGGATAATACTACCTATATCACAGGGTTCTTGTAAGAATTAAGAGTTAATTCATCTAAATTGCTTATGATAATGCCTGGCACGTAGTGTATGTTCAATAAGAGTATGCTTTTATTATAATTATGCATACTGGGACATTAGATGGCAAAGTAATATACAGGAAAGACTAGAGGACTGACTACCTCTACCATTAATTCATTGTGACCTTATTTTTGTCCCTTCCTTCCAACAAATATTCACTGAGTACCATCCTCGTTCACAAGACTGTACTAGGTGCTCTACATTTAGACTACGTGTGGATTCTATCTTTGAGAAACTTTCAGCCAAGATCTTTGATTCTATCATCTTCATTTTCCTCAGCTGAAAAATGAAAGGGTGTATTAGATTTCCCAAACAGAACTAGTGGACATGAAGTTCATGAAATCTGAACTGAGGTAGATCATTTCTAAGGTTTATTTCAGTTCAAAGAGTCTCTGTTCTACTCAGAGTCTAAGAATAGCTCTTTATGAAATTATATGAATGCTTCCCTTCCCCCAAACTGTTCTTGAGTAAGCAGCATAGGATAATGATAAGGCATGGCTAAGAGGTCATCCTGTATATGTATGCATTTTTTTCCCTCCATCTTACAGAAAAGTTCAATGACTTTTCTAAGAGTATACAGCTTAAAAAAAAAAAAAAGATAGCCAGGTAGAGACTGCGTTCCCTGCCTACAAATTCACATATTAAACCATATACACAAAAGCTCACTCTATTGTATGAATAAAACCACAATGATCCAGCCTCTTAATTACTATCTTTACCAGAAGTAAATCAAAAAATTGTTTATTTTAGAATCATATAATTTTAAAGCTGAAAGAAACCTTGGAAATGTTCTGATTCAGCTCTCTTATTTTAATTAGGAGAATTCTGAGGCCCAGAAGGTTTAAGGGACTGGTCTAAGATAAACTGACAGCTTGTCAGTGGCTGATTTGGGACCAGAAACAAAGGCATCTCAATTCCAGCTCAGAGTTAACTCCACCAACTCAAACACATTTATATTTGATGTCAGAACAACAACAAAAATCCTAATGATTTAAGCCACTGACCTCCACTATTAATAAATTGATGACACCAACAGATACAGGCAGAATCCAAGTGGAATCCAATGCAGTGAGGTCAGGAAACCACAGAACTCCACCAGTAGCTAACTGCTCCTGAACAGAAAAACCTGCTGAAACAGTTTTATAAATAAAACAACAGAATTCCTAAAAATAGCAGAGGGAAATATACAAGGCACAGAAGTCTTGACAATTCCAATATGGGGTTGGTTCCTTATATTAAAGATTTGCATTGGTTTTATTCAGGTTACTTTTCCTTCTACAACATAAACAGCCCTTCCTGTACTCAGCAAGATGCAAGGAACTATCTGCAGCAAATGGACATATATAGTATAAAGATAGGCCGTAGTAATCTTTTCAGATTTAAACTTAATTATCTGTCCATAGGTGGCTTTCTTTCAAGTCTATTCTGATTACTTCTTGGTTAGAAGTGCCTTTAAATGCAAGTAAAAAACAAATCCTTTAGTTTGTATCATTTCTTAATTAACATTTACATTTATAACTAGGAAAATTTTTCTGGTCTCTCAATTTTATAAATGGAAAAAACTGTTGGTCAGGAAGCCAAATTATGGAACTATAACATTAATTTTATTATGGCCCCCAGGTAGCAATATTATTGATGCCTTTCCTAGATTCATCTGTTTTTCTCAAAACAGTTTGTTTACATTCAATATTTCAAATCCTATTCTGTTGTAAAGAAGATGGTAAAAGTATTTCACTTATGAAAAGTGTATATATATACATATATATATATATATATCGGGGAGGGTACAAAGTTTCCTACAAACTTATTTGGAGAAAACACTTTTACAATAATTGCCTTCTGAATGCGTTGCCCCCATGCTAAAATTCCGGAGGGCAACAGATATGAAGATCCACATTGGAAGCTGAATCCAGACCAACACGGTGGCTTTGAAAGGGTGGCAGTTATCCCGGACATACAGCTCTGAAACAAGCCTCCGCATATTCCTGAGATACGTGATCCTAGATTGAGAGAAAAGGGAAAAACAGAAAGGAGAAAATATCATTTGATTACTAACAGTGCTTCATTCCCACTGCACAAACACATCATGATGTGGTTTTTGGTTAAAGGATTTGTGTATGGTTTTTAGCTGTATAAGGGGCTGCTTAAACAAAAGGCGAATAAATCCTTTAACTGAAAATTCTCCAACAATGTACATAATAATCCAATACATGTGATACTGTCAAATTACAGATTTTGTCTCCTGTGGTCTTTGGCCCACTAGACTTTATTAACTGTAGAAATTTCACTACTGACTTGGTACAGCCACAATTCATATGAGAAATACTAACAGTGAAAACAAAATTTTATTCAAATCCCTACTCTCCAACCAAACTTGATTACTTGATACCTGAAGATACCTCTTCTAACTATACACTTCTGTATCACACATGCTCTTGGCCTGTCAAAATCATCTCCCTTCAATAAAGTCTCTCACGATGATTTTTTATTCCATTTCTGTTAGCCATATTAGTTATTCCTGTTCTTATCTGAAGTTTTGCCTTCTACGCTATAGTTTCCTTGAGGGGCAAGTATTGGGCCTTATTCATTTTTAAGTCTCCTGGATCTTACACTTTGTACGTGGAAGGCACTGAGTAGGTTTCTTGACTTCAATCAAACCATACTATACTGAATTAAGATAGTATATACCGACAACTAAGCCCTTTGTAATTTAGCCTCTTCATACTTTCCCAATTTATCTCCTGTATATTCTGGTTTCCAAGTTATTTTAAGTCATTCAACAAATCAGACTTCTACATCAGTATGGCCAAAAGTATTTTACATCATCTGTGTGAAAAGCCCACTTTCCTGACTGTTTACTGAAAAACTCCGTTTCACTCCTCAAAACTCAGTTCTACTGAAAATACAGGAATAGGAAGAGAAAATGGAACGGGTCGCTAATAGTCTCCATGAACAACTGCGTTCTTCGCCATGAGACCAGAAGAACTGGATGGCGCCCGGCTACCATTAGTGAACATTTTGACCTAAGATTCTATGTGAGAATCTTGATCAAACGGGTGAAATGCAGAAGAGAATTTCAAATTCACATGGATACTAGATTTTCTGGAGCCAAGGAGACCAGATTAACTCCCAGAATTATTGTCCTAAAATCATCTTTAAACTTTAAACCAAAAATACCCCTGAAGTCTTCTTAAAACTAAACAATAGTTAGCAGACTTCTGGGCAACATGATACTATAGACAGAAGCACCATGCCATCCCTCCACAGCAAAGATCTGAAAAACTAAGTCAAACAGAGACAAACGTCAGTCCTGAAACCCTAAGCATCAAATGAAGAGATAAAGAACTCAGCCAAGCACCGAATGGAATAAGAAGCTGACAGAGAACAGAGAGCGAGGAGAGATATATGCCAAGGTCCCGTCAGTTAAAGCACCAAGGATCCGTCATCTTGGATTCCTATCGGAGATTGGTGAACAGGGGGTATGGGAAAGCAGCTTCACGGAGCTTCGAGCAGGAGACAGAACAACTGGTTACCAGCGATATACACTTTGACACCCCCCAGCTTTCTTCACCCCCACTCGGCCTCCTCTGCTTCCTGTGGCCACAGTGTCTTGGCCGGGAAGCACCGGCTTCACCCCGGTGCTGCTTGGATTCTGCCCACCTGCACTGGCTGGCTTCCGGAGCGTCATTTACTGGCTACTGGTGTTGCTTTTTTCTACTTCTTCTGGTTTCTTCCATACCTATCACAACCTCCCCATCCTTTCACTCAAATACCTGGCTCAATGTGCCATCTTTGCTTCTTCCTGAAAGGCTATGAAACGCAGGTCAACTGTGAAACTGCTTCCTGACCCGCACTGCCACACTGGTGGGATACCTGGGGTTTTTTTTGTTTTGATTTGTTCTGTTCTGTTTTGATCTGTTTGTTTTCTTTTTCTTTTCTCAGCTTGGGAGCCCCTTCTAGCTAGGCAGTACTGTGTGGCTTGAGAACTAATCCCTAGGTCTGCGAAGACGCGCAGTGGGATCCCTGGGTGCTTTTAGTTTTTCTTGCTTTTTTTCTTTTTGTTTCTTTCCTTTTTTTTTTCTTTTTTGTCTTTCTTCATTTCTCAGTTTCTCGTCTCTCTATACTTACCTTCTCTTCTGTTCTCCTTAATACGTGGTGCTGTGTGACACCTCTACCCCTTCTAGCAAGGCAGTACTTCAAAGCCTCAGAACAACTTCCCCAGACCACGCAGCCACACCGGTGGGATCCCTGGGGGCTTTTCTTTTCTTTTTCCTAATTTTTATTTATTCATTTTTTTCTTTTACCTTTTTTCCTTTTTGTTTTTCTCCATTTCTAAATCTCTCATCTCTCCACTCCAACACCAAGCTCCCTTAGCACTCATTTTTGTTTGTTTGTATACTTTTATCTTCTGTTTCTCTCTCCTCATTCCCATACCTATCTTAGCTCCACACATCACAATCTCCCCGCTCCTTCCTGCCTACCTGCACCATGCACTGAACATCACACACGCAAGCAGCACAGGAACAGCCTACTGGAATCTTCCCTACACTGATTCCCAGCACACCCTGCTGATCCTAGTACATGCCACAAACAACCTATCCCAGCAACTCCTCTTCAGCTAGATCTGCTCTGCTGTACCATACATAAGTGACTGACCTGCCCGTTGGAGAAGGAGGTGAAAACTATCATGCCCAAAGATGAGCAAAGAATGAAGAACACAGAGCCCGCCTGCTCAGACATAACCAAATAAAACAAAAAAGGAGGATGAAACAAACAAATCTACAATTAATAAACAAGGAAAATAACTACCGCATGCACTGAAGACAGCAGACAATATAAAAACATATTATAAAACTGGACAGGATGGTTCTAGTAGACGATCAAAATAAAACAACAAATGACTTTCCAGTAGAAGAAAATGCACTAAAACTACCTTATAGGGAATTCAAATCTCTAATATTCAGAGCTATCCAAGAGTTGAAGCAAAAAGCTGACAAAAATGAGGAAAAAATAGACAAATTCATGGAAAAGGCAGACAAATTCATGGAAAATACAGACAAAATACTGGAAGAATTCAGGAAAATAATACAGGATAATACAGGATAAATAATACAGGAACAGAATAAACTCACAACCAGAAATCATACAAAAACAACAATTAGAAATCCAAAAAATAAACAACAAAATTTCAGAAATGGACAGTGTTACAGAAGGGCTGAGGAGCAGGTTTGAAACGAGGGAAGACAGGATTAGCGAAACTAAAGACAAACACTTGGATCTACTGAGTAAATATCAGAAAAAAGAATGAAGAAACCCTGAGAATTATGTGGGATACAATCAAAGGCAAAAATCTGAAAGTGATCGGAGTTCCAGAACAGTAGCAGAAAACAGAAAACACACAGAGGACCACTAAAGAACTGCTGACAGAAAACTTTCCCAATATCATAAAAGATGAAAAGCTGGCCTTCCAAGAAGCTCAATGAACCCCATACAGGATAGACCCCAAAAGAAAATCACCAAGGCATATCATAATCACACTAAAACCAAACACAAAGAATCCTGAGAGCAGCTCTAGAAAAACAGAAAGTCACATACAAAGGAGAAACAAGACTAAGCTCGGATTATTTGGCAGTAACCATGCAGGCAAGAAGGCAATAGGATAACATATATCAAAACTGAAAAGAAAAAAATTGCAAGCCAAGAATAATATATCCTGCAAAACTCTCATTCAAATATGATGGTGAAATTAGGGCATTTCCAGATAAACAGAAATTAAGGAACTATGTAAAAACCAAACGAAACTTAACAAGAATTATTAAAGGGAGTCCTTCGATCTGAGAATAAACAACATCAGACCACACGCCGAATACGGGATGTAGGATCGTACCAGCCAGATACCAACCTAGGAAATGAACTCTCAAGGACTATCTAAAACCAAAAGAATAACATCATAGAACCAGAAAGGTTAATATATAAATGACAATATCAGAATAATAAAAGAGAGAATAAATGGTGTAGATATAGGAGCTTCTAATGTAGAAGGCAATACCAAGTAACAGATTGGTTCAAACCTAGGAAGATAAGGGTAAATTTCAAAGTAACCACGAAGAAAGTTAACAAACATAAAAGTAGAAAAACATAAAGTCTCAGCAAAAACAAAACCTACAAAAACAAAAGAAATGAAAAAAAAAAATCCACAAAAAAAGCACTACAAATGACAACAATAAACTCACACCTATCAAAAATTACAGCAAATATAAAAGGCCTAAATGCACTCATAAAGAGATGGAGAGTGACAGAATGGATAAAAAAAACATGATCCATCAATATGCTGTCTCCAAGAGACACACCTTAGAAACAAAGACATAAGTTTATTAAAAATCAAAGGATGGAAAAAAAACATATCAAGCAAACAGCTACCAAAAAAGAGCAGGAGTGGCAATACAAATCTCAGATAAAACACTTTAAAACAAAATTCACCATAAAAGACAAAGAAGGACACTATGTAATGACTAAAGGGACGATCCATCATGAAAACGTAACCATAATAAACACCTACGCACCCAATGACAGAGCTCCAAAATACATAAACTCTAACAGCACTGAAAAGAGAAACTGACAGTTCCACAATAATAGTAGGAGACTTCAACACACCACTCTTGGTAAAGGACAGAACATCTAGAAAGAAACTCAACCAAGATACAGAAAACCTAAATGGCAAAATCAGCCAGCCTGACCTCACAGACATATAGAACACTCCACTCAACAGCTTTAAAGTACACATTCTTTTCCAACACACATGGAATGTTCTCCAGAACAGACCACATCTTAGGCCACAGAGTAATCCTCAACAAGATCCAAAACACTGAGATAATACACAGTATCTTCTCTGACCACAATATCATCAAGGTAGAAATTAACAACAGGAAGAGCAAGGAAAAAAAATCAATTACATGGAAACGGAATAATACCCTGCTTACAAATCACTGGGTAAAAGAAG